TGATTCTATTTATTTAAGTGTTCTAAAAGAGATGTTCAAAGTGACAGTTTTTTATTCATAGGAATTTCCACCAATATTTTGCAAATATCTCTACTTTAGAAAACCGCCATATTTTGCAGAAAAAAAAGAGAAGTGAAACAGACCACTTTTTACATAGTTACATAGTTACATAGCTGAAAAGAGACTTGCGTCCATCAAGTTCAGCCTTCCTCACATCTGTTGTTGCTGTTGATCCAAAAGAAGGCAAAAAAAAACTCAGTCTGAAGCGCTTCCAATTTTGCAACAAACTAGGAAAAAAATTCCTTCTTGACCCCAAATAGCAGTCCGATTTCTCCTTGGATTAAGCAGCTATTACCCCACTAATTAGAAATTATATCCCTGTATGTTATGTTTTTGGAGGTATTTATCCAATTGCAGTTTAAGCATCTGTATGGACTCTGATAAAACCACCTCTTCAGGCAGAGAATTCCATAACCTTTCCTTTGCCTTAGATAAAATCTCTATTCTTCCGGCCTAAATGTGTGACCTTGTGTCCTATGTATAGCCCTGTTTACGAATAGATTTCCAGATAATGGTTTGTACTGGCCCCGAATGTATTTGTATAATGTTATCATATCCCCTCTGAGGTGCTGTTTTTCCAAGCTAAAGAGATTTACATTTTTTTACTTTTGTTCGTAACTAAAATGCTCCATTGCTTTTATCAATTTTGTAGCTTGTCTCTGTACCTTTTCTAGTGCCATGATATCCTTCTTTAGAACAGGTGCCTAAAATTGCACAGCATATTCAAGATGTGGTCTTACCAGCGATTTATAAAGAGGCAAAATTATATTTTCATCCCAAGAATTTATGCCCCTATTTATACATGACAAAACCTTACTGGCCTTAGCAACGGCAGATTGACATTGCATATTGCTGCCTAATTTGTTGTCTATAACAATTCCCAAATCCTTCTCGTGTGTGGTTATTCACTACCATTTAGGGTGTAAGTTTCTTATGCATTCTTGACCCCGAAATGCATAACTTTATCTGGCATTTTCGTGCCCAGTCCCCCAATCTATCTAAATCCCTCTGCAGCAAAGCAATATCCTGCTCACATTTTACAAAGTTTTGTGTCATCTGCAAACAATGAAACATGGCTTTCAATGCCTATTGCAAGATCATTTATAAACTAAGTGCCATGCCCACTAAATATTCCTATGTTTTGGCCTTGTAATGTGTGTCCCCAATGCTTATTCCCATGATTCCCCTTGTATTCTGTGTTTCCCCATGTAAACTGTGATGTATTTGTGTGTTTTACCTGCCCCCCCTTCGGGACAGCTCATATGAACAGGACCTGTTTGTCACCCAAACGGGGACCACTCTGATACCTCAGTTAGAATGTTAGTATAGAATGTTCACACCATGTAATGAGGTGTGAAAACCACAAACTGCAAGGGAAACAAGCGGCGCCTGCTTCCCCTGGATGGCCGCCGGTTAGTATAACCAAACATCAACCAGGGAAAGCATTTGTTTCCCAAATAAGCCTGCCGCACGGTTTCAGGTCCCAGAGTCGGGGATCACCCTACCTGCTCCTAGCAAAGCTATAATCACTATTTCCCCTGCCTGGGATCTACAAAGCCAGGCTTGTGGCTGCCCGGGAGCGCTCTCTTCGGGCTGCCTAAATGGAGGTAACTGCTGGAGAGAGGCGCGAGCCCTAATGGAATCCATGGAGCTGTGAGTCAGCTACACAGCCACAGGGATCCCACAGGCCACCTGGAAGTCTGTGCCGACCAATGGGAGAAAGAGCACCCATTCAAACTGGGTGGTCGGCACGAGTGCGGGGTGCAGGCAACCAATTAGAGAAGGAGCACCTGTTCCCCTGATTGGGTGGTGAAGCCCCTCTCCTCTCCGAGTGCTGATTGGTGAAACCGGGTTTCGCGCCGTTTCTTCTGATTGGGTGGAGAAACCAATCTCCTCCCAAAGCTCCGATTGTAATTGAGTTTCGCGTCCTTTTGCCTGATTGGTGTCACATCTTGCCATGTTCTGCGGAGATGTCTGATTTGGCTTCTGGTATCCAGTACTCTTTTTACAATTCTTGTTTAGTTTTTCTTGGTTCTTTGGTCTATGTCTGGTTTTCTTTGTTGCTGGGTTTCTGGGTTAATTTCTGTAGTCCGTCCCTGGGATTCCCAGTCTCCAGGTTTCCTTTAAATGTATGTTTTATGTTGCCACACCCGTTTGTTTTCCAATTTCCTTTTGTTTCAGTCTGGATCTGCAGCAGTGTTTCTAGTCTCTGCCCTTTCTTGCAGGTAAGTGCTATTGTGGTTTAGTATGGTTCTTTTAGCAAACTTTAGGCAGTGTAGGACCTGCCAGATATGGGGTACATTGGCGTTGTTGGCAGGCTTATGCAATGTATGATCATATAACGTAACTAAATCCCCATACTTTTCATATATAGTGCTTAGTTATGTCTCCTCTTGTTTTGCCTATCATATCTTGTCTTGTTTTATTTTGTATTCCCAGTTCATGTACAGTTCTGTCCTGCCCTGTTCTTGTTTTCCTCATGTCTTGTGTACAAGTTCTGGGTTCTGCTTTCTGTCCTGCTCTGATTCTGGGTTCTACTAGTTCTGTCTTGTTTTCATGTTTGGTGACTATCCTAGCCTTGCCTTGTTTCTGTGCTGGATACATTCTTGCAGTGGCGTACTAAGGAGGGGGCGGTCCACCCCAGGTGCCACCAGAATGGGGGGTGCCATGACCAGCCCCGCTGGCCCCCCAATGCTGCAGCCGCCCGAGCGCTCTGTAGTGAGCCTCAGGCGGCTGCAGCTTTGCCCGGGCGGTGCGTCCATGAGGGCGGACCGCACCGCCCGGGCGCAGCCTGAGGAGAGGGGCTGACAGGAGGGAAGCGCTCAGCGCTCAGCGCTCCCTCCTGTCACTCCCTCTGTAGTAGCGTGGCCGAGCCCAGTATAGTCGGCGGGTACAGGGAGCAGCTGTCTCCTGTACCCGGCCAGGCTAACAGGAAGTGCACACAGAGTGTGCACTTCCTGTTAGTCCGGCCGGGTACAGGAAACAAAAGCTCCCTGTACCCGCC